TAGGAAGTTGGGCACCCGAGGATCCGAGAGGCCAGGGTATGGCGGGGTCACCGTCTGCGTGGCTGGTGATGTCCTCCAGGAGGGTGGCAGATGGCACAGAGTGGAGGAAGTGTGTAAACCCAAGCCGAAGTCTTTGGTAAATGACAGCATGGGACCTGCCAGCCCAGCAATGACAGCAGTGAGTGGGTGAAGGGTCCAAGGCAAAACGACGTGGGCCTGAAGGGAGGAGGGTCTTCTCTAATGTCCACGTCCCCTGGGAGGTGAGCAGACCAGTTTCCCTTAACGCAGGAGGAAACCGAGACCTGGGAGGGTGAGCAATGTGTCCTGATTTGTCGACGTAAGTGGCAGAGTGGGGACTTGCATCTCTCCTGCGCCGTCCCCTGTGTTACTCATGGGTGCAGTGGCTGAGACTGAACTCGGGTGTGTGCCCTGCCCTGAGGAGACAGGGTCTCGCTCTTGCTAAGGCTGGCCTCGAACTCCTGAGCTCAAGTGATCCTCCGGCCTCGGCCTCCCAAAGTGCTAGGATTACAGGCATGAGCCGCCACACCAGCCAAATGTATTCTATCCTCCTAGAGGCCCTGCGAAGCGGGTACTCTCCTCCCCACTGTTCAGATGAGGAACGTAGAGGGTGCAGAGAGCTCAGGGAAGGACGAGCTGAGGAGACACCCGTGACTCCCTCTGTGGCTGTGGGTGTCAGGGACGACTGGCAGAGCCAATGGGATTCAAAGGAGGGATCTGTAGGGGGTGATGCCGACCCCACAGAGCTTCCTGTGGGGAAAGGGGAGCTTTTCTAAGCCTCACACCAAGCACAGCGCAGCAGCCCCCTCGTGTATATTTTTGGTTAAGATTCAGGATTCTTCAGTAGCAAAGGCAGGGCCAGGAGGCCCAGAGCAGGCCGTGTGAAGCCTCTGGGCAGCCAGGAGATCTAGGCCCCCTGGGGACCCAGGCAGATCCTCTCTCCCACCCCTGTCCCCTGCCTCCAGGTGTGAGCACCCCCACCAAGCCGGCCCTGAGGCCAGCAGTGCACATGAGTGTGAATACAGAGCACCAGCGGAACGAGCAGGGTCCTGAGACCACGTCCTGAGAGTTATCAAGGACCTGCAGAAGCTTGGCTGCAAGAGAGGAGCCACAGGGCATCCTGAGGCCCTCGTGGGACCTCGCGCGGGAAGCAGAGCCAGACCTGTTCTGTGCGGCCCACGGGGCAGAGCTGGCAGGGAGGATCTGGCTTTGGTTCCATAATAAGAAGAAACTGTCCGGCGGCCCACCCTGCCCAGCCACAGGGTGAAGACCACCCCGGAGGTGGCGAACTCCCTACCCTGGGACAGTCCCGCTGAGGCTGGGTGCTCAGAGGGCCAAGCTGACCTGGGACCCGTCCAGCTCTGACGTTTCAAGTGGCCTGACCTGCTACTCTCACGATTCCACTGTGAGGGTGGGAATGATCCAGAAGGCGCGGCAGAACCTCCAGGGGAGCCTGCCCTCCCGTCTGAACTGGGCCTGCCGGCGTCCTGGGCTGGGGCCGAGAGCAGAGGCTGCGGGGACGCTTATCAGGTCATCTCCGAGCCCCGTCAGCGCAGGGGGCCGGCTGTTGTCATGAGGCTGCCCTGGACGCCACGTGTAGCCCTGGCTGCGTCACCTCGGGTCCGGGGAGGTGGAGCGGACGGGACAGAGGGTTCTGTTGCCCCTGTCCTTTCCCAGTGGGGCAGAACTGGGACGTGAGAACCAGCCAGCGGAAGCATAAATCCAGCCAGAGCTTGGCTCTCATCTTTCCCGAGATCCCGCTGAGTGTGTAGCCCGGGGGCTCCCAGGGGCTGGGGGGATCTCAGGAGACAAGTGGTGCTTAGGGTTTCTCTAAAAACAGCCCCCAATCCCACTCTCTGTGACAATGACCCCAAGGAGATTCAGGCATTGAGCCTGAGGCTGGGGTGGCCAGGCGAGTGAGGGCTGGGGGGAAGAAGGCTGGTAGCATGAAGGGTCTGGTCCGTGCAGCTCGGAAACCAGCAAGGATTTATTCCCGGCATCAGTGGTTTAGTGGAAAACTCTTCCCCTGCACAGGGGAAGGTGGCAAAGGGTAGACACTGGACTCAGTGAAGCCCAGCGTGGGGGAGCTCACCATGTCTGGGCTGGCCCCCTTCTGTCCACAGAAAGCAGATGGGGAAGCAGGCGATGAGATCCAGGTGGCCGCATCTTTCTCCTGCCCGTCCCCCTTCCCGCTCCCTGCTCTCTCCCCATCCCCAAGGGGCCCCAGCTGGCTCTGGAGGAATTTTTCAATCAGATGGGGAACTGGGCTCAGCAGAGATGAGCAGCGGGGACCTTGAGAGGGAAAGAAAGACCCAGACTGAAGTTTCGTAACTGTCCAGGGCTGCCTTGTGTGGGTGGCCCCTCCGAAGGATGGTTACTCAAGAGCTCTGGGCGAGGGGCGGGCACTGGGTGGGGAGAAATGAGCATCTTTAGCTGTTTGCTCTGGGGACCTTAAAGGAATGGGAATTCAGTCCCAGGGTTGGGGTGATCCTACCCTGAGGCCGGTTCGAGTGGTGACCCAGGAAAATTGAAGGCAGTTTGCATAGGTCTTGGGAGCCACGGGGGCCTGAGGAGGAGAGGATTGGCAAGGGGGCTGGGGGGTGGGCGGGACAGCTTGGTCCAAGGGTGTTTCTGAGGTGAGATGCAGCCAGTGTGGTGGGACCAGACACTGTACCTTTAGGCATGAAAGCTAGAAATGCAGAAAACTGTTTTTCTCCAGTGGCACCGGAGGTCTGTTTTGTTATCAAAAAACTTTCAGCTAGAAGGTCCGTTTTCCAGGGGTGGCTGTGGCAGCGCAGCAGCTCAGCGGGTTGGGGTAGGGGGTGCACGATAGAAGAGTGGTGGTCCCGATGGGAGGGTGCTCGGGGTTTGTGTGCTGAGTGTCACCAGCAGGAGCGTAGCTGGGGTAGGGGTGGTTGTTAGGGAAAGGGGTTGTACTGTTAGAGAAAAATTATCCAAGGCCACTTGTTAGAGCACGGTAAGGAAGACTTCATTCAGGGCCATTGCAATAGATACAGGGACAGCAACAGGGTCTTGCAGGGGGGGGCAGAGATTGGGCTCGACTCTGAATACAGCATAGGCAAGTGGGAATTTACAGCCAAGGAGCGGGGTGGGGGTCAGTGGATGGAAATTACTAAGAAGAAACAGCAGGGGTGAGGGGGATTCTGGCTAAACCCACCTAACAGGGTCTTGCTGAACACAGGGACTCACCAGCCTTTTCCTACCCACAGACTGTATTAGCGAAAGCATTGGTTCCAGGGCTCCCTTCACAGAATAGGTACTGAGTTTACAATTCCTCTCCTAGAGGTACAGAGACACACCCCAGGGTGTTTGGGGATAAAATGCTCCCCCAAACAGCAACATCACACGCTGTCATGACATGCTATGACATGAGCTCACAGCGGTATTGATAATTTGAGATCCTGGAGGGTGGTTTCAAGGGTAGAGAAGGGGGGGCAGGTTGTCATGTTCCCATGGCAGCCTAGCTCATTGCCATAGCAACACAGCTCTGCCTCCATCCCTTGGAGTCCTGGTTTCTGTACTGGGTGGAACACCTTGACGCCTCACAGTGTGGGGGAGGTCCCACTACCCCTCTGGGAAGGAATATTTTCACCCTTGACCAAGCAGGAGAGGGGTACCCTGAGGCTGTCAAATAGGGCTGGGTTTTCTTGTGAGCAGGAAAGTGGATTTCCTGGGGTTTCCCTACTGACAAGCTCTACACCTTCCCACTATGTCTCTTCTTTCAGCTGTTGGACCCCCAAGAATGTCCCTTCTTGATCTGACTCAGATGGAAGGAAACCCTGCCATCTCAGACAGTCACGACCGTGCAGTAGGGGAGACAGACCCCGGTGTCAGGAGAGTGTCAGCTTGCCACTTGCTGGCTGTGTGCCTTGAGTGAGTTATTTATCTTTCTGAACTTCAGAGTTCTACCTGTAAAGCTGGGGATAATACACGTCCACCTCCCCGGGTGGTCATGCGGATGAAGAGAAGTGACACAGGTAAAGTGCCACCCTGGGCCTCCCTGGGGGAAGGTGAATGGCCTAGTCCACTGTTGATGCCCCTTTGCTTCAGTGCCTTGGGGCCAAGGCCCCGGCAGAGGGCTGCCTGTGGGGTCGGACAGGGCAGTGGCTGGCATCACCTTGCAGATCAGACTGTCCACTTGGCTGATAACTTCCTTGGGAAAGGGGAAGGTACTTAACTGTACACCGCCGCCCCGCCCCACCCAGTGCTACTGCGGGGTAGCCCATGTCCCTCGGCACAATGCTACCCATCCTCAGAGAGGTAAGTCTAGGCATTCAGAGGATGGCTTCAGGAATTTTTATAGAAATTTGATATTGCTGAAACATCCAAGCAGCATCCAATTTGGGCTTCTCTTTAGTTGGTTTTTTGTTTTGTTTTGTTTTTTGAGACAGAGTCTCAGTCTGTTGCCTGGTGTAGAGTACCCTGGCGTCAGCCTAGCTCACGGCAACCTCAAACTCCTGGGCTCAAGCGATCCTCCTGCCTCAGCCTCCCAAGTAGCTGGGACTACAGGTGCATGTCACTTCGCCCAGCTATTTTTTTTTTTCTATTTTTAGTGGAGACGAGGAGGGGGAGGTGAGGGGGTGAGTCTCGCTCTTCCTCAGGCGGGTCTCCAACTCCTGACCTCAAGTGACCCTCCTGTCTCCACCTCTAGTCTCCACCTCCACCAGAGTGCTAGCATTACAGGCGTGAGCCACCCCAACTGGCCCTCTTTAGTTGTTTTTAAAATTTTCAGGTCTTCGGTGATCCATTTCATTGTATTTTTTATAAAGTATTGATCTGCAGTAGATCGGGGAGCAAACAACCTGTTCCTTCATCGCGTCTAGTTATTGAAGCACTGACCTCCACGGCTGCAGAGGCGTCCTAAACCGGCTGGCTGTCCGACTGCGGAGAGGGGACCATCTCCTCAGCTCTGCTTGCAAAAATTAGCCACAAATCACAGCCGGTGCGTTGGCAGCATTTCTTTATTGCCTCAGGCCAGAAGCTCTAGTGCCTGCTCCGCGAGCCCCGTATCCCCGCCCTAGTCTCGCGCGCTCCGACCCCTCATCCCGGGTTTGAAGTTCATTGCGGCCACCTGCGCCCTCAGCCCGCCCCGCGCCGGGGCTGCGGCTCTCCGGGCGGGTCTGCCGCTTGCCGTAGCGCAGGCCGAAGGAGTTCCAGTTGTAGGCAGACAGGTCCTTCTCCCGCTGCACCAGCACCGCGCCGCGGGGCGCGGGGATCAGGCGGCTGCGGGGCGCGCACAGGCCGTGCCGCTGGGGCCCCGCGGAGCTCTCGGGGGGCGGGCACGGCGCGACCCCGCGAGGGCTCAGCGCCGTGGCTGCCGGCCTCCTCCCTGCGCACCGCGCGCTCTGCTCCCAGCGGGCCAGGAGGTCCTGGGGTCCGAGCTGCTGGCCTAGGACAGAGAGCACAGGGAGATGAGCTGGGGCCGGGGAGGGCGGCTTCGGAACACCCACCCACATCCCCAAGCTGCGCTTCCCTTTCTTTCCTTGGCCTCTGGGAAGCTCAGCGCTCAGTGCCGCGCAGAACCACCATGGTCTCAGCCTGCCGTGGTTAGGTTTGCGCTTCCCTATAGCTTTGATTTCTGATGTTTGTCCGAATTTTCTCAAGTAACTTTTATATTAAATTACTTCCTTTTAGGAAACATACAGGGTAGAGCTTGGGAATGAGGAAGACCATGGTGTTTGCTGGACGCTGGGCTCTGGCCCTCTGCTGCGCCCAACTGCCCGGCTTTGCACTGGACCGGGAGCTCCTTGGGGTGGGTGGAAGGGGGCCACGCTCGTTCATCTCTGTATCTTTCAGAGTGCTTGAAACGGTGGCTTGCTCATAGTGGGGCCTCAGTAAATGCTTATGAAATATATAAAAACTAATGAAAAACGTGTAGTAACAGAAATCAAAAAAGCCAAGTCCATTCTACTCCCATCCACCTATGACCCAACCCTGGTCTCTGACAACAATAATTGTGACCCCCTAATAAGCTACAGAAAGATTCAATGAATAACAAATTACTCAGCAGAGCACAGGACCTGGAAAAAAAGAAAGAACAGAAATTATCTAGGTCGCCCCAACTGGCTCACCTTCCCCACTCCAGGTATAATCTCTCTCCTTCATACTAGGGGTTAACAAGGCTAATTTGGAAGGCACTTCACATACAAGGCTCAGTAAGTTCACTATACTTTTGGGAGTAAAATAGGGCAACCAGCTCTGAGTAGACAATAACCCTCGCCAATTGTGGCAAGAGATTAGTGGAAATGAGGCCTGGTGTGTGAACGGGTGTGAGTGGGTGTGTGTTGGGGACTGGAGCTGGGTTTCAGCCCTGCTCCTCAATGCCCCGGCACGCTTTGGAGAAGAAGAGTGTGGACATAGTCCAGAGGTAATGACAAAACGCCTAGGAGGCTCCTCCCACCTTGCCCAGGGCCACGTTGGGATCGGAGGGAGGATGGCTTCCTTCCCAGCTATGCCCACTCAACTAGCAGAAGGATCGCTGCTCGGGCGACTGTGGCCTTACCTAAAACCTTTGGCCAGAAAGAGCCAACAGTTCAGTGTCCCTGGGCAGTGGTGGGGTTATTCTCCGGAGCATCCTCCCTCACCTAGAAAAACGCCCGATCCCAGGAGAGAAGACACTCTTGGCAGAGGACTCTGGGGCTGGGCTCTGTGCTCTCGGCTATCTTATGGGATGTACGATGATATCAAATGCGTAGAGAGGATGCCCTGAGCTCCACAGCTAGCGGAGCTGAGCTGCAGAGAGGCTAAGCTATGTTTGCCCAGAAAGCTCACACCACAAAGTGTTCAAACCCACAGCCCTTGACACGGGGACTAGCACTGTTCTAGCTCGTGCCACCCAGCAGACACGCTCCTGGGGCGCTGTCACGCCTGCTGGGTTTCTGCAGTGTTTGAGTGATTCCGGGGGAGTCTTTCCACCTCTTTAGGCCTCAGATTCTCCAGCTCATCAGTTCCCCAGTGAACTCCTAAGGTTGACAGTTATTAAAGATCTGTCCTTTCGTTGAGGTTCTTTTTTTTCAAATTCCCCATAAAGGATCTGAGGTCACTGATAAAAGAAAGTTGCCTATTAAGTTCCTTCCCAACCTCTGCACAGAGGAAGCTGGCACAGAGCAGAGAACACAGTGTGAGAAAACCATGAAGGAGCTCGGTGGCTAAGAAGCACTTGAACTAGGGGAGCAGACGGATGCCCACCACAGAGGCAAGCCGTCCCTGACTTGCAGGGTTGATGGGACGTCTCAATGAGTTGCGTGCGTGCCAGTCTTGGGTTTCCACCAAATGCAGTGTGGAGCTCACATCCGTACTCTAGCTGTAATCTGGAAAATATGGTGAATCTCGTTTTGCAACAACTCGCTTGCTCCCGCCCACCCTTCTTCACAGACAATGCTTACCTGTGGGTCTAGGATTCTGCACAGCTGCCACCTTTTCCAATGGATCCCCCAAGGAGGTGGCACAGAGGAAAAGCAGTAGCTGCCAAGAAACCAAGCAGTTCATCCTGGTGAGGAGACAGGTCCTAGAAGTGACCTGGGGCCGAGACAGAGGGAGGGAACGAAGACTAGGTCACGCACAGGATCTGGCTGGGTGCTGGGGCCAGAGCCCATTGCGAAAGTGTGAGAGAGAGGAGGCAGCCCCGCCGTGGAGGCCCCCAGTGGAGAGATGAATCTAAACAAATACATCAGGGAAATGGGATGGAGACCACTAGCACTGTGTAGTCAAAGCTGAATTCATGCTAGGTGGGAATCATCCGGGAGGGCTTCCTGGAGGAGGCAAGGCCAGTAAGTTTAGGAACGAAAGATCCAATTTGGTGAAAGGGGCAGGACTGCTCGGGTTGGAGAATGCCAGGAGTTTGAATCTCAGGTTTGCTTGAGAAGAATGTTGGAGAAAGGCAGGGTTGCGATGCAGTGTGTGGGAGTGACTGGGGAGGGGGAAGCGGGGCAAGGACTTCAGGTGCTACGTGGAGGACTGAGGTGCCAACGTTGTCTCCGGAGCCTGGGAGCAGGCACTTCTTCCCTCCGCGCTGGGTTCTGCACACACCCGCGACTTTCTGTGTTCCACTGTCCCCAGGAGAACGCGCCTTCTTGAATCTGGCCCTGTCCCTTTCTGCCATAATAGAAACTTAATTCTTTTCCTGTTCTAAGAAAAAAGGCAGAAAGAGGTAATCATCTTGCTCTCTCTCATAGCCCCTTACAGCCTTAAAGACCGTCATTAAATTGCCTTATTGCCTATAATTCAGGGAAGAGAAAAATCTTTCCCTGATTTATCAGGTCAATTGTCTTCCTAGTCTATTCTCTGTGGCTCCGAGAGGCCGTGGATTGAATTGGCCTCATCATTTCGGCTGTTGAGATGGGGGCTGTGGGCCCTGACCATGTGTGACATGGGGGACATGCACAGCCCCTTTCCCTCCCGCCCCCCATGCTCCCCGCCCCCACCCCACCTACCTATTCTGGCTCCCAAGTGCAATTTCTCTTTGAAAAAGTCATCAGGCACTTAGAGATAGCCCAGCAAATGTGATTAACATTGACTGCCATGTGAGTTGTATTTAACTCAGGCTAGTTTTGACCCTAGGGACTTGTGAAGCAAAACCCTGCAATTGTTTCATGCAAATCTTACTTGCTGATGTTCTTATTGTTACAATTAATATTGACAATTTAATTCTAAAAACACAAATTGCGCTGCATATAATTCACCCACAGAAAACAATTAAAAATAACAGAAAGGATCGGTTTGTTTTAATAACACCGTGGCCCCAGGGCAAAAAATTTTTTTTCTAGCGTGTCAGTCAATGTGTTAAAGACAGACTTCTGGGGAGGCGGGGGCACTGCAGGCCGAACAAAACGTTGTCCTGGCCCAGAGTACAGCCTGCAGCCCCACTCCATGGGCAAGGGGCAGGGGGAGTGTCATTGTGCCCACAGGCTCCCAATGGCTGCTCTTGCCCTCTCCCCCCCTGCGGGACTCAGGCAGGGAGCAAAGAGCAGGAATCCTAAAACCGACGCAGAATACTCTACTCTTGTTCCCTGTGAGATGCGAGCAAGTCACCCCCGTTTCCAGGCCTCACGGGTCCGTCTGTGAAATAAGAGCACTGGATCAGATTGGCTACCAGCTGCCCACTCTGATGGTTACTTGTCCTTGCAGATGTTGATTCTGTGACCGCAGCTGTCTGCACCTGCCGTAAAGCCCAGGGCCAGGGCATGGAATAGAGGGAATAGAGGGCGGCATCGATCCATTAGAGAGAACAGCGCGACAGCATTGCAGACCAAAGATGCACAGGGTCCAGGCTGGTTTGGAAATCATTGCTTGAGCACCGACTAGGTGCTGGGGCTGTGCTAGGTGCCAGGGGTGCACAGGTGCGCTAAGACACGGGGCTGCTGCCCCCTGAGATCTCAAGTCTAGTATACAAGAAATTGACCTATAAACGGATCATTTCAAACTAACACCTTAAATGACACACTAGATACACACCACACACATGTACATACATATATATGCCCCACATACCACACACATAGCACACGCCACATATATATGCATACATATGTACACATACACACACACCACATACCCCCCCATAGACACATACACACTCACACACATACACAGATTCCCTCAATTCTTAGTGCACCACCCAGCCCGCAGAAAGAACTGTCAGCATCCAGGGGCCAGGAGCGGCTGCCCTGCTGTGGACGATTTTTGTGGTTCCCCCTGCTCTGGGGGAATTTGTATCCGGTGAATAACACAGTCCAGGCGTGGCTGGAAAGCTTTTGAAGTGGGGTGGCCCCTGGTTGTTAGGGTGGCACTTAGTGCAGGGTGTGTAGGCAGGTGCCTCTGGTTAGGCTCATAGTTCTCATTCACAATTTGGGGAAATGGCTCAGAGGAGCCCTGGTGACCCCATGAACCCTGAGGGGTTCCCCAGTTCCCCCCGAAAGCCTTTGTGGCCTCCATTCCCAGCCACAGAGAGTTTAGTTATTGTTCTCGTTCCTTCTATAGTAAGAAAGAGCCCTTGGGATCCCCAGAGTGCTAGCTTCACAAACACAGTGCAAGCCAGTTTATTTACCCGGGCATCCCAGAATAATCTGGCCAAGCTGGTAATCAGGAAAGATCGGTGCCCCCAACCCAGCCCCCTCTGCCCGTCTGATGCATCTGTCAGTCTTGGAAGGAATTCCCTGCTCCCGCTCTGGGGACCCCGGGTCAGGGCAGACCCCCTCCCCGAGGGTGGACGCGCAGTGCACCTACCTTGGCTCCGTCCTGGCCCAGGTGGGGGCGCGGCAGGGTCTCTGAGATGACGAGATCACCTGGGTGGCTGAACACCCAGAGGGAGGGAAGCTGGGCTCCTGGGCTCCCTCTCAGCAGCTCCTTGGCCACGTCCCCTTTTATAGAGCCAGGGTGACGTCTCCAAGCGTAAGCCCACCTCTGCCTGCTCTCCCTCCTCCTCGGCCTCCTGGGAGAGCACCCTGACGGCCGCCTCCGCCCCTGGCTCTCCTGGCTGCAGCTGGCCTCCTCCCCGACAGAAGCTGTCCAGGGCTGGCTTTCTAATTCTCACGAGTTCCTTCCACCCTCTGCCACCCTTTTCCCGCCCACACCACTCAGCTGGAGACCCCTTCTGCCCCAAACAACGTGGAAATGGGCTATTTGAGGAGTGTGTGTGTGGCAGGGTGTCAGTGTGAACACAAGAGCCACAGACACACCCGGGCTGAAGTGGCCACGGTAAGGACAGGAAGGGGAGAGGAGAAGGGCACGGGCTGCCTTGGGGGACTGCTCGCCCCCTACCCGCCGCCCACTCTGAGAGAAAACCAGGTCAGCTCAGGCCTTCGACCAGAAGGCAGCTCCTGGTCCGTGTCCTGCGATTGGCGGGAAGAGGGGTTCCCTCCTTCTTCCCTCGGTTACCAAGCACTCGCTCAGCACAGGGTTTTGAGATGAATTTAACACGACATGGTCAGATGGGCGAGACAGGTGTGTAAGCAGCCGGCTAAGAAAGGCGAGTGAAAAGGGAGCTCTATAAATGGATGTACCTGGGAAGTGCCAGGGAAGGCAGACAGGTGACTTCCAGGTGGCAGCACATCCAGAGAGGCTGCACCTGGGGCCCCGCCCCGTTGTCTTATGGCACCTGCCATCACTCTGTTTTGTGACTGCTTGGGTACAGCTCTTGGAGAGCAGGGACAGGCCTCCTTCCCCCTGTACCCTCCGCACCTGCCCCATTGCTAAGTACGTGCAGAGAGCCCTCAGTAGACATTTGCTATTAATTAATGCATGCTTTGCAAGTGACTCCCGTCTCTTGAGCCTGCAAGAACTCCCTTTACCCTTGGACAAGGGGATCCCCAAGACAGGGACTGTTTCTTCTATTAGACTGGGGGGTCTCTGAAGGCAGGGGCTCCCCGCACAGGAAGCTCCCCCAGCACGAGCTCTCTGGCTGGTGTTCTGCACAGAGCAGAACATTGTTTGCCCAATGGTTGAGCCGCACTCCGACAGTGCGCAAGAGCAGTCCCCACCGCTTGGCGAGTGCTTACTGCCAACAGGGCTTGCAAACGTCTTGTCTCACTCATCAGGACTATTAAGCACCGGGATAAAAATGACAGCCTGTGAGAACAGGACTGACCCTCCCAGACCACAGCTTTGCCGTGTGGAATGAGCTGTGTGGCCTGCCTGGAGGCGGTGGGGGGGTGGGGTGGGGTACTTAGCGGGCTGGAGACACCCACTTTGAGTCTCAGACACACTCAGGGCTTGGGAATTTAATCTTCACTTTCCCTCCCATAAATAGAGGCTGGGGCTGTGATGTCAGCCGCGTCTCGTCTCCCCGGGGCCTGGGTCTCTCCTCCCAGCAGTCCTGGCAGCCTCTTGAGCTACTTGAGGGTTCGAGGCCAGTCACTCCACTCCATCCTTCCTTCTGGGCTTGAGGCGGTCCGGACGCACAGGGAAGTGAGTCAGTGCCGGGCGGGGGCGTGAGGGGGTGGTCCCCATTTTCCCTCCGGCCCCTTCGACCAAGGATCCAAGTTCAAGGAGCTCATCTCTGTCGTTCAGACCATTGAGCTGGTGCCTTGAAGCCTGCGGAACAGCTGTGGGAGCCGAGAACCATTACCCCAGACAAAGACCGGAGAGCAGACTCAATATCCAGGTTATTACCGAGCCGGCCTTGAGGGCCGGGAGCTGCGCCAGGCTCAGCTACGGGGGCAGGGGATGTGCCCAGCTGGCAGGCGCAGCCAGGTGCTGGCTGGAGGGCCCCCCGGGCTCCTGAGAGAGCTCATGTTCTGTCAGGTGCTTCAGAGAAAGAGAGGGGCAGGGGCCGGGGCCGGAATCACTGGCCATGCCTGCCTCCGGGACAGGACAGTCTGCCACCTGCTTTCCCTGCTGTCATCGGCTGTCACACATCCTCTCCATGCCTGGGGCCCAGACTCAGCCGCTCCCCAGAAACCTCAGGCACCTCCTGGCTGAGTCTCTGAGTGGAGACTCCAGAGAGTCTCTGAGTCTCCGTTTTTTTGGTTCTAACAAGGAGCTACTCATTTAGGCGCGACTGCTTGCGGATCGCCTCACCTCGTGTGTTCTCGTCAAGTGCAGAAGGCGCGGGGAGGAGAAGAGGAGCTGAAGGCTGGCAGACCTGGGCTGGAGGGTCTCGGGTGGGGGGGCGGCTGCCCCTGGGGCAGCAGTTTTACCGGGTCCATGTGCTTTCCCCTCCCCAAGGCACCACCACCGAGCCCAGAGCCACGAGCCACGTGCCTGATCTGCTTACCGCACTCAGGAGGGGGATGTTGGCAGCGTCGCCCAGGAAGCCAAAGACGACAGGGAAAAAGCCCCTAGGAGCAGAGGGGAGGAGGGAGGAGTCAGTGATGGCCCAGGAGGGGCACAGGACAGGCCAAGGGGTGTGGAGCCACAATCCAGAGTCACCGGGGCCGCGTGCAGATCTCCCAGGCGCTAGTGGGGAGACCTGGGGCCGGAGAGCTCTCTGAGTGGGTTTCGTATCTGCTGAGTAGAGAACAATCCTACAGGGGACTGTGGGGCTAAGACGAGATGACGATCGTGAGTGTGCCTGGCAATGTCAGCTCGCTGCCCTTCCTCTCCAGCTGGTCACTGGGACTTGAGGGCAGGCCCTGCGTCTCTTCCCGGTGACAGGCACAGCGCTGGGAACGCAGTAGGTGCTCGGTCAGTGTTTGTCAAAGGATGGGCTGATCCCGCCGGTGTGTCCTTCGGCCCACTGCTGGAGGGGCCTCTCCAAAGTGTCAGCCCGTGGCCCGCCCCCAGTTCCAACCTTCCGTGGCCCTCCTCTCGTGCAGGGCCAAGTCCCAGCTTCTGCACCCCCTGCTGGGGTGATCTCAGCTACTCAGACACCTTGGCAGGTCTGTCCAGAGTGACAGGGATTTGTACTCACTTGAACAGGCTAAAGAATCCGTAGGTTTCCAGCAACATGCCCAGGAGGGGCCAGCGCAGGAGCACGATAACCACGCCCCCCAGGAAGAAACTGGTCCCCTTGAGTTTGTGCCGCTGGAAGAAGAACGTAAAGGTCCTCCGCAGGCCGATGATGAAGGACAGGCCCGTCAGGAACAGCAGCTGTCGGGGAGGGAGAGAGCGTGAAGCAAACACACCCACCCCGCTGGAGTCGGGGGCTCGGGCCTGGCAGGGGTGAGGCGTGCCAACCCCTCAAGACATGTCAGAGGGCCCCCCGCAACGCGGCAGAACCCCAGAGCCTCAGGGAAGTCGGGCTGGCTGGGAACAGACCAGAGGCAGGGGAGGGGCGAGGAGAGCTTGGAAGGCGCTGGTTTCGCAGCCAATTCCTTGGATCCCAAACACTTCTTCATGCATGACTCCGCCTCATCGCGCCTCCCAGGGAAGATGGACAGAGAGTGAGAGTCTCTCCATTTCACAAGGGGAAGACTGAGGCCTAACTAGGACAGGCAGCCACAGCCTGAGTCCCACAGAACGTTCGGGCTCCACCGCCCCTAGACTGACACGCCAGGCCTGCACTCGGTGGCCTCGTCTGTCCCGTCCTTGGCTTGGCTCCTAACGATCCCTTAAGAGCACCCAGGCACTCGTCAGATTTAGCTCTGGCTTTCTTCCAGCGTGTCCCATGCTTCCCCTCCCCGGGTCCTTACCTTTCTCTTACTGTGCCACCCCCCGGAAGTGCTCTGTCTGCCTCTGCACCGTTTCCTTTGCAAATTCCTTTTCACCCTTCTCCAGTCAGGGGTGCTCGCTCTGCTCTACGCCTTGTTTCACAGGAAGCGTGTTTATCTGGCTGTGGCTTTACTGCTGCCCCGCCTTCCTCCGCAGCCGCGCGTGGGGCTCTATCCCTGCCCTAGATGGTGGGACGCAGGTGGCAGAGACCGTGTCTGAGTCACCTGCACCCCAGGCCTCGGCCCAGAGCTTGTCATGAGGATCCGAGAGCTCAGATTCTCCGCGCCAGCGGGCTCTGCGGTCTCCTGCAGCCCTCATGTGCCCGCGCTCGATGAATTCTGGCCCCTGGCTGGGCATGATCTGAATGAACTTGGGGCTGGCTCTGCTGGCAACAGGGACCTCAGGAGGGTTGGGGCAGGGGAGTGCATGGGGTGGGGGACTCACGTTTCCAAAGGCCAGGAGCACCGAGTCAAAGTACAGGAGTATCCCGAAGAGGATGAAGAAGATGCCGAAACCGGTGATGCCCACGCCAATCTCTGCAACGGGCAGGGAGGTAGTGGGGTGGAGTGGATTTTGGGGGGTAAAACTTTTCCCATCACCACAGGACAGGCACCCTCTAGGGGGTCTCTTCATTTCCATCCAGGAACTCGGCTTCCCTGCTCTCAGGGGGTGGTGGATGGAAGGATGGGAAGGATGGAAAGGAAGGTGTGCCTGGCGCCTGGGCTCCGTGCCGGCCTCTTCTGTACACGACGGCCCTGGGGAGAAGCTGGCGCCGCCCTCACCGCTTTATACTCTCAAGTGCTACATTATCCAGATCAGTGTCGGGCTGAACACAACCCTCTGCCGCTCCTGTTCCTGCCTCTGCAGCTGAGAACCGCTGGAGCCCAACCCCCACCTGGGCAGAAGGGTACCTCAAAACTCAGCACCGCCAGCCCCAGAGAGCCTCAAGCCCGCCCAGCTGACCTGCTCTCTTCCCAAGGGGCGTGCCTTCCCGAACAACCTCCTCACTGTCCAAACTCCTCACTCCTCCAAACTGCCCCCTCCCCAGCTCTCAGGTACTGACCACTCACACTTTATTGGGAAAACAGAGGTCATCAGTCAGGAGTGTGTTCATCCTCCCATGTGGGGACCCACTCCCCAACCTGCACCTGCTCCCATCGTCCTCCTCCCTCCTGCAGCTGCCGCCCTGGGCCCTCACCCTCCGACTCTCATTTCAGTGCCAGTGGTTTTGGGCAGTTCTGCTGAGGACCCTCGCTGACAGCGACACCCCCACCTCCTTTACAATGTGTCTCAGAGCATTCTCTGAAGCTGCAGGAGTTTGCTCAGAGCCAATGAACACAGCACAGAAGTGCACGACATTAAGACCCCCTTGTTTGGTCAAGGGCTACATTTTTGACATTTTGATAGACATTATCACTCCCCACAGGAAGAGTTGTACAATACAGGATGTGAAGTTCCTTAACTCTTTCCATCACACAGAAGTGTTAATTTTACTTATCTTTGCCACTATGATAGTCAACAAATGAACATTCACTGTGTTCTTCATTTTAAAATTATTATACATTAAATTAAATTTTAAATTGTGGTAAAATGCACATGAAATATAAAATTTACCATCTTACCATTTTAAAATGTACTGTGCAATAGTATCAAGTACGCTCGCATTGTGCTACCATTACCACCGCCTGTCTCCAGAATTCTTTTCCTCTGGCAAAACTGAAACTCTGTACCCATTAAACGGCTTCTTATTCCCTGCTCCCACTGGCCCCTGGCAAACACCCTTTGACTTCCCGTCTCTGTGACTCTGACTACCCTACGAACCTCATATAACTGGAATCATACAACATTTCTCTTTTCGTTACTGTCTTATTTCATTTATCATAACATTCTCAAGGTTTCTCCATCTTGTAGCATGTGTCACAATTTTCTTCCTAAGGCTGAATAAGTAAGTCCCTTGTATATTATGTATATATTATATTTGTTGATCCACTCATCTGTTGATGGACATCTGGGTTGCTTCTCGCTTTTGGCTATTGTGAATAATGCCGCTGTCTTATTTCATTTATCATAACATTCTCAAGGT